TCGGGGAGGGGAGGGGATAAAATCCTCCGTGGGGCACAGCGAGGGGCTGAGGAAGCCGTGGGATCTGTGTGGGGCACAGTGAGGGGGCAGGGGTGCGGTGGGACCCGTCTGGGGCACAGGTGGGGGGACGGGGGTGCGGTGTGGCACACAGAGGGTATAGCAAGGGGCTTGGGGGTGTGGTGGGACCTGTCTGGGGTGCAGCGAGGGGACGGGGGTGCTGTGGAGCACACGCAGGGCACAGCAAGGCGTCAGGGGGGCAGTGAGTGCCATCTGCGGCACAGCAAGGGGACAGGGGGCCGCTGAGATCCCTGGAGGGCACAGCAAGGGGCTGAGAGGGCAGTGAGATCCGTGTGGGGCACAACAAGGGGACGGGGACCCAGTGGGATTTGTGTGGGGTGCAGCAACGGACCCAGGAGACAGTGGCACCTTTGTGGGGCACCGTGAGGGTCTGAGGACACAGCGGGACCTGTGTGGGGTGTGGTGAGGGGCTGAGGACACAACGGGACCCATGTGGGGCACAGCAGAGGGCCAAGGACACGGTGGGACCCATGTGGGGTGCAGCAGGGGGTTGACAGAGTGAGACCCATGTGGGGCATGGCAAGGGGCCAGGGGCACAGCAGGACCCATGTGGGGCACAGGGAGGGGCTTGGAGCGCAGTGGGACCCGTATGGGGCAAGAGGATGGGCTGAGGGCACGGTGGGACCCATGTGGGGCATGGGGAGGGGTGGGCAAAGCGAGTTGTCTGTAGGGCGCAGTGAGGGGTGAGCACATTTTGTCACGGTGGGTTGGGGGGAGCAGCGGGACCTGCATGGGGAGGTGGGTACGCAGGGGACAAGGCAGGACATGAGACCCCTGGGCCACTCCAGTGCCAGTGGGTGGGTCTATGGCAGGGTGGGGGGCCACGGGGTCCCCCTCCCTGCCCCCCAGCCCGGTCACCCTGTGCTGGGGGAGAGCCAGGGCAGACCTTGCCCTTGGCGGGACGCATGGTGTGTGGGGCACTGGAGCCACCCTAACCTCTGCGTTAGCAGGATCAGGGTGTCCCCGGGGGCAGGCTGGAACCAGCCACCTCCTCGGAGGCTGAAGGTGATGGTGTGGACGTGGCCATCTGAAGGGCAGCGCTGGCTGTGGTTACATGCCCAGAGCAGCCTGGTGCTGACAGGCTGAGGCGTCAGTGCCATGCTGGGGCAGAGCCCCCCAGACTGGCAGCTGAGTGCCCTAGGCTGTGCCTGTCCCCGCTGCGCCCCAGGGACGGGGCTGGGGATGGCCCCACCCTGCTGATGGAGGGATAAATCAATTTGGTGCCTTGTGAGCGCCCCAGGAGAGTGGCTATATCTGGAGCAGGAGGAAATGGAGGGGCTTACGGAGGCAGCTGGAGAGCAAGGGCAGCCTGATGCTCTTTCATTATTGATGAGCGGGGTGTATCGATCCCGGAGCCAGCCGCTCTGTGATGCTTCTTAATGGATCCTGAGATGCTGTGTCATTAAGAAGGACATCGAGCTGGGACGAGTGGAGCCAGATGGGCCAGCAGGAGATGTGGCCAAGGCTGCGTGGGACCAGGCTGGGGGCGTGTGGCTGGGGTCCTTTGGGGTGCTGGACCAAGTTCCCCAGGGACTGAGGCCGGTGGGGCTGGGTCCATGGGGCTGGGCATCCCATGGAGGGCTGTGGGAGCTGAGCAGCTTGTGGCTGCCCCTCTTGTTTGCTTGGCCGAGGAGCTGGGATGGAAGCTCCCTGTGTGTGCCATCACCAGCCATGGGGTGTGGAGCTTCGCGTGGGGCGGGGGCAAAGGTCCGTGCAGGGAAAAAGGCTAAAATCAGCTATTCCTGTCAATGTTTCCGGCTTGGTGCCGTAAATCACCCTGATGGGAATCAATCCTTCCTGATGCATGGCTGCTGGGGGAGGAGGTCAGGAGTGGGCAGAGACCTGGTGGCCCTCTGAGCCAGGATGCAGGGGAGTCTGGGCCCCTCTGGTCACAGCCCAGAGATGGGGGCTGGGTGTGGGCTGAGTGCTTGGCCCTACGGGGACTGGTGCTCAGGGCTGCGATGCCGATGTTAGGTGCTTTCCTAACCGGGGTGTGTGGGACAGGGAGTGGGGACCCTGCAAGGCTGTCTCGGAATGCCCACCCCTGCATGGCTTGGCGTGGAGAGGGAAGCAGGAGCTTCGGTTGCAGCCACATCCATGTCCATGCCTTGCAATGACACCACATGTCATCCCTCTTCGTGTCACCTTCCTTCTCCCAGCTGGTGGGCAGGAGTGTGATAAACCTTTCCTGGGGAAAGCCGCTTCCCTGCCCCACCATGTGCCCCCAATGCTGCCGACCCCTGACATTCATGGCTTGTTTAAAGAGTGGGAATGGGGAAGATGTGGGCGCATCATCCCGTCCCGTGTACGGCCACCTCGCATTTCCCATTGCCCCCTCACCAGTGCCTGGGCGACGTGCAGGGGCCCACGTCTCTCCTGCCACTTGCAAAAGCGCTGATATAATTAGAGCTGTGGTTGAGGGAATTACCGGAGCATCTGCCTGCAAAGCCCAGGTCCCCTGCCTGGGGAGATGGCTGGGTGCTGCTGCTGGGATGGGAATGCATTTGGTCATTAACCCTCACAATCCCCCCAGGCGTGGGACGGCCACCTGGCCAGGGTGAGGGTCTCTGCACTGTAGTGCCCTGTGCTGGTGCGGCTGCTCAAAACTGGGATTTGCAGGGATTTGCTGCCCAAAACCGGGATTCGCCCTCACTTCAGGTTTATCTTCCATGATGCAGGGGTCAGGCAGTGTCCTGCCACCCCGTCTGCACGCTCAGGGTCCTGCCTGTCCCCTGGGGCCATGCACTCCGCCTCCTCCATCATGGGCACCCCCTAAATAAATGCCTGGGGGCAGCATGCACCCCTAGCCTCCCGGGACCCTGTTCCCCTTGTCCTCAGTGATGCTGGGGCTGCCTTTGGCCCTTCACTGTCCCCTGGGGGGGGGGGGCGTGAGCAGGCAGGGGTGCTGCTGGCCAGTCAGAAGGCTGCCAGCTGGAGGCAGCTGCTAGTGTCATGGAGAACCCCGAGCGTTGACCCTTCCCTTCTGTGTGGCTCCTGCAACCTGTCCCTGGGGAGCCGTCCAGGCGCCATCAATCCCCTTGCTTGGTAGCCTTTGACCAGGCGGGCTTTTGCCGACGCTGCCGTGGAGGCTGGCTGCCCGGGGTGTCCCACCATCTGCCACCAGCTGTCGTGGCCCCCCAGCCCGTGTGGTGCCACGGGCTGCCTTTTTCTGCAATGGCGTGGGGAGGGACCCATGCTGTGTCCCCATGGGGGGACCCTTAGCCTCCGCATGCTGTGGAGATGCTGAGCTGCCTGTCCTGGCCAAGAAATGCCGAGATGGCACATTTCTGGGTGCAGGACTAGAGAAGTAGGGCAAGTCAGGAGTGTTTATTTGAGGTATTGCAGCACTCAGAGGGAAACCATTTCAGACCCTGAAACAGGCTTTTGCTCACACACAGCCCAAGCTGCTGTGATTTCCCTCTCCCCTGTGCCCGGGAGCCGCTCCACACCTCACTGTGGGTTTCCCATGCCCATGCTGGGTTTCTTCTCCCACCCGTGGGCTGCCTCGCTGCCCCCGTGGGTGAACCTGTCAGCCCTGCTGCCTGCATGGCCGGGTGCCCTCCAGCAGCAGGGACCTTACCCCAGGGCGAGGGGCTTCCTTGCTGTCCCCAGCCCTCCCTGCACTCCGGATCCAGCCGGGGCCCCGGGCCCCCATGCAGAAGGGCTGTGCGCCGGGGCCGGCGCCCGAGCGTGACATTCCTCCAGCACCCCCCGCCGCCTCCTCCTCCTTCATTGCTCAATCCCGGGTTCCCAGCCAGGCTGGCTGGAGCGGGGGCCCTGGTTTTCCGGGGGGAGGGAGGAGGCAGTGGCAGGATCCTCAGAAAGGGCAAGGAGGGCCCCTGCCTGGGGGGGTTTCGGACACTCTCAGGTGCCTGTCCCCACGGCCCGTGGTGCCCTGTGCCAGCCCTACGCCGCCCCCCGCTTAGCACCCGGGTGGGCATCCCGTCGGGTCTGGCAGAGCCCCCAGCAGCGGGTGGGGGGCACGTGGGGCGGCTGGCCGGGGCCCGGACACCCCCTTGCTGCGTGGGTTGCACTAGCAAGATGCTCTGTTTCCAATTAGCGCCGGCGGCCGCGGAAGGTGCTGGAATCCGGGAACCTGCGCATTCCTGCCGCACGGCCGGCCGGCCGCGAACCCAAACATGGGTTTGTCCCGTTCCCCAGCCAGAGTTCCCCAGGGGCCTCTGGCGCACGGCTCTGACGCCTCTCCCATCCCCCCCGTCCCCCCCCGGGGAGCAGCTGGGGACCTGATGCCAGGGGTGGCTTTTGCTGGAGCAGGGTGCGTGTGGGTGCTGGAGCAGGGTGTGTGGGGTCTGTGCATGGGGTGTCTCCTCATATTTTGGAGCAAGGGTTCCCCTGTTCTCCTTTCCCCCTTCAGCCGAAGGTGGCTGATGGGGCAAGGGTGGGTCAGGGCCAGTGAGAGTGGTGGGGCTGAGCGGGCTCTGTGGCCACGGGGCACGTGGCATCAGAAGGTGGTGAGCCAAGCACTGCCCTGTCTGCCTGCTCCATCCTCCCCACAGCCACAAAGCGTGCCCCCGGGGTTGCTCTGCTCCATCGCCCCAAGGGAAAGCATCCCATCCCACACCTGGCTGGGGTGTCCCGGGGTGGGGTGGGGTGGCATCGCCCCCTTGACGCCCCACGTCTCGCTGGCAGTGGTGTATCTCTGCGGACCGCCGGAGATGCTGCGGCAGATCATGCAGCTGGCGCAGCGGGAGAACCTCACCAATGGCGACTATGTCTTCTTCTACCTGGATGTCTTTGGGGAGAGCCTGCGGGGTGACTCTTCCCGCGACCCCTTCAAGCCCTGGCAGCAGAGCCTGGGGCAGGACTCGGGGCTGCGCAAAGCTTTCCAGGTGAGCTGTGCCTGCCTGCCTGGGGACGGGGACCTCCCCACACTGGCCCTGGTGTGTGAACTGGGGTGCTGTGCTCTGTTGCAGATGGTGCTGGTGATCACCTACTACGAGCCCCAGAACCCCGAGTACCAGCACTTCCAAACCCAGCTTATCCTGCGAGCTAAGCAGAAATTCGGGGTGCAGCTCAACTACTCCTTGGTGAGTGAGTCCGTGATGGGGCAGTGGGGACCCTCCATGTGGGGCTGTGGCACCTCACCAGGATGCAGAGGGAGGGACATGGCCAGAGGCAATGCCAGAGGGGCCATGCCTGGCGGGAACAACCATGGGGACTGCCGTCCCCGCAGGGTGCGTGTTGGCTCCGGTGTGGGGTTATGGGGCAGTGGGTGGGTGCATGGCCCCGGTGTGGGGGTCCTGGGGCCAGGGTGTCCTGCGTGCGTGGCCGCGGGTGTGCTAAGGTCCCCCCTGGCAGATGAACCTGGTGGCGGGGTGTTTCTATGATGGGATGCTGCTGTACGCCATGGTGCTGAACGAGACCCTGCAGGAGGGTGGCTCCAAGAAAAACGCCACCCACATCATCGAGAAGATGCGTGACCGCAAGTTCCAGGGTAATGGTGGGACAGGGACAGCTGGGCTGTGGGTGCCACAAGGGCAGTGGAACCTGGTCCCTGTCCCACCTTGGTCTTGCTTCTCCCACAGGGGTGACGGGGCTGGTGAGCATGGACAGCAACAATGACCGGGACACCGACTTCAACCTATGGGCCATGGGTGACCCCGAGAGCGGGCAGTACGAGGTGGGGGCTGGCAGTGGGATCCTGCTGGTACCCGGGACTGGGGGACGGGATGCTGGGGGGGCCTCAGCTCTCTCTGCTGTAGGTGGTGGGACACTACTCAGGCGTGGAGAAGCAGATCCACTGGCTGGGACGACCCATCCCCTGGGTGAAGGGGGCCCCCCCCTTGGACAACCCACCCTGTGTCTTTGACGTGGATGACCCTTCCTGCGATAAAAGTGGGTGTACTGGCTCCCCATGTCCCTCCGTCCCCAGCACCCTTCGCTGTGGGTGCATGGCAGCCTGGAACCTGTGGCCAGCTGGGCCACGCTGACATCCCCTCCTCCTGCCTGCAGCCCCCCTCTCCATGCTGGCCATCGTGGCTTTGGGCACCGGCCTCACCTTCGTCATGTTTGGCATCTCCAGCTTCCTCATCTTCAGGTCAGTTGGGGCTGGGGGAGCCTCTGCCTGGGCACCAGGCACCCCTCAGCCTGTGGCATTGGGGCAGGCAGAGCAGGGGTGTAGGGGGCCTGACCCCCCATGTGCCCCCCAGGAAGCTGATGCTGGAGAAGGAGCTTGCCAGCATGCTCTGGAGGATCCGTTGGGACGAGCTGCAGTTTGGGAGCCCTGAGCGGTATCACAAGGCAGCGGGCAGCCGGCTCACGCTGTCCCTGGTGAGAGCTACCAGCCCTGGGGCACCACCCTCCTCCTGCCCCTGCCCCTGTGCTGCCCTCCCTCCCTGCATGACACTCTTCCCTTGTTGATCCCCTGCATGGCCCTCCATCCCCTGCAGACACACTCTTGATTCATCCCCTACATCCCCTGCAGCACACCACACCTCATCGTACAGTCTTTACCCTCCCTACAGAGTGTGCAGAACTTGTCCTGATCTTGCAGAGCTTGTCCTGCACCATTCCCTGCACACCCCTGGGTGTCCCGGCCCTGCTCCACTGGTGCCTGTCACCCCCTGCCCCAGGGTCCCCATCCCTAACCCCCTCCTTCCCTGCAGCGTGGCTCCAGCTACGGCTCCCTGATGACCACCCATGGCAAGTACCAGATCTTCGCCAACACCGGCCACTTCAAGGTCAGTGCAGCAGGTGGGGAGCTGAGCCCTCCCCCTGAAAGCCCCCAGCCCTGTTGCGGTGCTCCCCCCTGGCTGCACCCCCACCCTATGGGGTGCTGGCACCTTGTCTTCTCCCCACATCTGCCCAGTGGGCACTGACCTCTTCCCCCTCCCTGGCACCCCAGGGCAATGTGGTGGCCATCAAGCACATCAACAAGAAGCGCATCGAGCTGACGCGGCAGGTGCTCTTTGAGCTGAAACACGTAGGTTTGGGGTCTGGGCTGGGGTGGGCACCCTGCTTGGGGGTACAGAGGCTGGTTCTAGCAGTGGGAGGGGGGCTGGTGGGAGCAGCAGCCTGTCCCCTCTGACCTCAAGCCCATTTCGGCTCTGCTTCCACCTCCAGATGCGGGACATCCAGTTCAACCACCTGACCCGCTTCATTGGGGCGTGCATTGACCCCCCCAACATTTGCATTGTCACTGAGTACTGCCCGCGGGGCAGCCTGCAGGTAGGGGGGGCTTGGGGGCACCGTGGGTGACACACACACGCTCCTGGTGACCTGGCTGGGCTGGGTGTTGAGGACAGGGCTGTAGATGCTGGTGGCCACCCAAGCCCCACAGGACTCACAGCAGAGCTGCCCAAACAGGCGTCAGAGGCCAGGGGAGGGAAGGGGGTGGGAGCTGCAGAGCCCCCCCCCCCCCCCCGCCCGGGGG